GGAATGCGGGGCGTGAAATAAGGAGGGGAAGCAAATGAATGATTTAGTGAGATTTAGATCCAATGGTCTAAAGTAAAGTGTTTGATTAAATTCAAGGTTAAAACTCTTTTTTGGTCCCTGAACTATTGTACGGACCTCTGATTTGGTCCCTGAACTAAAAAAATCCTTGATTTGGTCCTACTGTTTACCATTTTTGCCCCGATTTGGTCCTTCCGTTAAAAATTGTGTGACGTGGCCTGTTATTTCACGGTTACCAAATGACATGTCATATAGTAATCCACGTGGAAGATAATATAGTCAAAAAGTGATGATGTGGAAAAAATAATAATATAAAAAAATATTATGAAAAATAAAATTTAATTTTTTTTTTTCTTTCTCCTTCTCCTTTCCCTTTCCCTTTCTCCTTCCCCTTTCCTTTCTCTTTCCCCTCAGAACCCAGCAGGCCTGGGTTCCTTCGAACCCACCCAGGCGCTGGCTTCCTTGGGTTGGGTTCCAAGGAACCCAGGCGCTGGGTTCGAAGGAACCCAGGCGCTGGGTTCGAAGGAACCCAAGCGCTAGGTTCCCTCGAACCCACGCCTCGGTTCTTCGAACCAGCTAGGTTCCATGGAACCCAACCTTAGGTTCCATCGAACCCAGGCATGGGTTCAACAGAACTCAGGCGTGGGTTCGAAGAACCCAGCACGCCTGGGTTCTTCGAACCAGCTGGGTTCCATGGAACCCGACCCTGGGTTCCATCGAACCCAGGCATGGGTTCAACGGAACCCAAGCGTGGGTTCGAAGAACCCAGCACGCCTGGGTTCTTCGAACCAACTGGGTTCCATGGAACCCGACCCTGGGTTCGAGGGTAAAAAACATATATATTTTTTTTGTGTTTTCTGTGGGTTTGGTGTTTGATGATGATGATGAAAGCAAGGCAAGGAAGAGGAAGGAAAAAAAAAAGGGCATTGTTGGGTTCGATTCAACCTAGGTGCTGGGTTTGTTTGGTGTTGGGTTTGTTTGCTCAAGGAAGAAGATGATGGCAAATTCGTAATTTTGGTGGGCCCCACTTTTGTTGGGTTGGGCAAGGACATGACATGTCACGTTGCCATGTCATTATTTATTCATTTATACAACTGACGTGTCTCAAATGTTTGACATGTCATTAAATTGTCGTGAGATAACGGTGAGATTTTAACGGAAGGACCAAATCGAGGTAAAACTAGTAAACAGTAGGGACCAAATCAGGGATTTTTTTAGTTCATAGACCAAATCGGGGGTCCATACAATAGTTCAGGGACCAAAAAAAGATTTTAACCTAAATTCAATGGATGTTATAAAATCTAAATGTATTAAATTATTAAATTAAATTCTAAATTTAAGAAGTCAAAAAGGTTTGGTCCGAATATGGAGGCATAACGATCGCTTGGAAAAACGTAAAAGTTTAAATGTTAAATCTTCATTTTGGTCCCTGAACTATTATATAGACTTTCGATTTGGTCCTTAAACTAAAAAAATCTTTGATTTGGTTCCTAAACTATTGTACGGATCCCCAATTTGGTTCCCACTGTTTATAATTTGACCTAAATTGATCCTTGAACTATTGTATAGACCCCAAATTTGATTCTTACTGTTTACAATTTCGCCCCAATTTGGTCCCTGAACTATTATTTAACACAAGGACCAAGTTGTAGTTAAATTGGTAAATAGTATGGACTAAATTGAGGATTTGTATAATAGTTTAGCGATTAATTCGGGGTCCGTACAATAGTTTAGGGACCAACTCAGGTCCCGTACAATAATTTAAGGACCAAATTAAAGATTTTTTTAGTTTAAGGATCAAATTTAAAATCTATACAATAGTTCAGGAACCAAAATAGGAGTTTGACCAAGTTAAAAAGGTGAACTAGTCGTATGTATCAGACCTATTCATGTGCTTGTCAGTTTCACAGAAAAAATTTACTCATAATACTATTTAAAAAATTAAAAATTATAACGTCTTGTTGATTTTAATGTTAAAATTTTTAATAAAAATATTTAAATATTTTTAATAAATTTTTTTATGTATTAGTTTATTAAAAATATTAATAATATTATTAATATTTTAATTATTAAGATATCTTAATTTGCCCAATCCCCTAAAACATTATAGAAATCTCCTGAACAAGTCCGATCCCAAATAAAATCAAATTACATTTTTCCAGGGAATGCAATCTGGCCATCTAGAATCAGTTGCAAGAACCTCCAAACATATTCTTACCTCCCACCGCATTCCCTAACTCAGCCCACCGGCACTTGCCCGCAAACGTTTCTGATCCCAGCATCCATACTTCCAGAATTTGATTTCACTCAACCCTCCTTTGGCTTCCACACTGACAAAAGAACTACTGCCTGGACATAGGCGATTCTGTCAACCCGTTCACGATTAGTATAATGCTATCTTTGTTCAAATGAGACAATTTGAACAATGATAGCAACACAGAAGAAGATACTTGCAGGCAAGATGCTATCTCGTCTTAAACTAAACCATGGTATAAGGGTAGTTTTGAAGAAGAGAGATCTCATCCACAGTACATGTATAAAAAGCAGGGGATTAAAAAGAGAGTAATAAGTTTGAGGACATCTATAGACAAGAAATTATACGCAGAACCAGATAATGGCATGTCTTACAAATAGGAAACTTAATTAACTGAAACAACAATAGAAAATCTATCATAGAAGGAAGATCAAGAAAACTAGACAACGACAACATTGCATTTTTTTGAGACTTTTGGTAATGATAGTAACTTTTTAGTGATCTCCAATACTTGTTTCTTATATTTTCCCAAAATATGAATCTTCATGCTCTCTAGAACTCTTGCATTTTTCAGCAAATACTTGACAAATTCCATTTCGTGTTCATTTCCATCAAAATTTAACATTTCAATGGTCTTCAGGCTAGCTGACAAACAACTGGCTCTAGATTCCTCTAGTTGGTACCAGGCAGCAGGACTCCAATTTCTACCATCAAAGTGCTGATGATAAAACAAAGAATTAAGATCAGTATATAATTTCTGCTCCACATGGGCACAATGGTGATTTCATTTGATTTCATACCTCAAAGACAAGGGTTTCTAAAGATTCACAACGTGTAAGTAAGTATGGTAATTGTGTCAAGCACAAGTCCAAACACCAACAAATTGCCAAATGAGTCACATTATGAAATGAAGGGATGGGAACACTGTAGAGAATAAGATCCTGTAAAAAGAAAGTTGTAGTTCACTGCATGATTTAGGTTGTAGTAAAATCACTAAACAAAGAAAGTAGGCAATTCATAATTCAATGTTCCTCTTTCGAGTGAGTGGTGGTCACACAACTTACTGCTAGAGCTCGACCAGAAATACCAAGTTTCTGAATGTTGCATATCCCTCTCAATAAATCAGTTGCAGCCTCAATGTAATTGCTAGGATTGCCACCACCTTGTTGAAAATCAATTCTGGCTTCATCAAGGGACTGGATATTTACACATGCATGAGAAGTTAAACAAGAGATACTGTAATGCTAGTCGACAAGGCTTGGGGCATTAATCACAATCTCTAAACCGCAAGACCGCCCCTTTGGGCGGTGTTCTATGTGCAGCCTCTTGAGTGTAGGATTAGAAATACCAAGTTTACAGTGATCCATGCGCAACCTCTTGGGTGTAGGATTACAAATACCTAGTTTCCAGATATTGCCAATAAAACAGTAGTGCAAATCCTCAAGAACGGGGCAGTTAGACAGTAGCCTACTCCAAGAGTCATCATTTGAAAATGCAATATTACACAGGCGAAGGACCTTGAGACTTGGGAGACAAACTTTGGAAGGAACTTTTAAACCAGACTCACCTGAGTCCATGCGCCAGACATCAGACTCAGAGTCCATGTCCAA